GCTGTAGTTCGTGCCGCTGTATCCTAGGAAGCAAGCGCTCGAATTACTTCGGTGAGGAGGCAAATATTGCTTTAAGGACACTGTGTTGAAACACAGGCCCCGGCTCCAAGACTTCCTTTTTATTTTTTGTCTACTGCAATTTGTATTTTTTTTTTTGTACTTCTTCTAATTCAGTTAACTGTTTAACAAGTTTGTTACAGTTATCACACAACTTAACCAGTTAACCGCCAAGGTCTTGCCACTTGTCCAATCTTTTAAATTGTCTCCATGACTGCCATTGAAATGTATGATATAATAGCAAAGGACGCGCTTTCAATATCTGTTCAACACGATATCCATCAAACTCATAACAAGTTTTGGCGGTTTTTAAATATTTTTCAAGGAAGCTTTTAAAAGTTCGTTGATTTTTCGCATTTTCTGTGGTTGGAAGGTGAATGTAAGCGGATTGAAAATGCAGGAATCTGACGTAGTTCCTTTTTATTACTTTGAGGATATGTGCAAATCTCTTACTTTGAGGAGGGGTAAGCAAGATCTCGTCACACAATATTATGTTCCATATTTGTCGGGTTTACAGTTGTATGTGGACCCATCGAAGCTTCTTTCGAATCTTAGGTGAGTCTTAATTACAACAATATTTGCTCGTGTTAATTGTTTTTTGGTTAATATTTAGTTGTGCTTCCGTATATGTGATGCTTTTTTTTTGTATTCATTGGTTACTCTTGAACTAGTGTCATATCCATTTCATTCTTCTCTCGACGTTCTGTACTCATGGAATTTGCACGTACTACTTTTTTGTTTAGCCATCTTTGCGTGATTGGTTTTGATAAGTAATTGCGATGCCATTGATTATATGGCATTATAGGTATTTGCATCGTCATTCTCCTGCTCAAGGAATTTGCACATACTACACGTTTAACAGCCAATTTTATTTCTCATAGATGTTTCTTTCAGCTCTTTTTCGGGCTACAGCTATTCAGTATCTGTTTAGTGCTTTGCATACTCTCATTTCTGAGTGTTATTTGACTAGGCTGTCTGCACGTTGCACTCCACATCACTTCAACGTTGAACTTCTTTCAGTTAGTTGCTTTGTGGTTAAATGAAAAAAGTCACTATTTCATATCATCGTCCAGCTAAAACATCCTATGAAATACTATACGCCATCTTAATAATTAATTACACCTTCATATTTTTCTTTGAATACCATGCTTGATTGGAAAATTTTCCATGGAAAATGGCCTTTTCATTTCAACTTTTGGAGTGTTTGATTGCCATTTTTTCTATGGAAAATATGCCAAGTTTTCCTTGATTTTGAGGAAAACATTTTCTCCGAGAGAGATACGTTTTTGTTTTCCTCAAAATAAGGAAAACATTTTCCATGTCAATCAAACACACTCTTATTGTTTATTATTTACGTGTCCATATTAAATAGTAACATCTGTATGAGATACCATACAACATATTTTATTACTTGTATGTTCACATTGTTTCTTTGAACACCTCATCACCTTTGTGATATAGAGATTGTAAAATATACTAGATTTCTTCAGACCAAATCAGGGAAATTTTTTCTCTATGGCTCATTATGGTTCTATGGAGATTGTATTTCCTAGTACGGGATCATATGTCTCCATATTTTGCATTCCAAAATGCATTACACTTTGAATTTTTTTATTTTTTTTTTAAAAAATTTTTGATATCGTAAAATGCATTTTCCATCCTTTTCTTTCACCAGAACTAATTTGAGATCAAGAACATCTTGTTGCCTTTAAGCAAGTGTCCTTTTTGTCTCCCGTTCTATCTTCTTCTATCCTTTTTCTTTATCAAATTTGACGCAATAATTTAAGGGAGCATGTTTGGTGCAATAATGATTTAGCACTCTTTTTGGGGTTATAATCTAAATTACCAGAGGGCGGTCCCTGTAGTCACTTGGTTGCCATTCAGTAAATTATCAGTATTCACCCACATAAGATTCATATACTTCTGTGTTTCTCCTATAGACGGCTTTATTCTTCTTCTAGAATTGTTGGCACTAGTATGATTATCTTGTGCAGTCTTCCTTACACCTTGATAGTTCTCCTACAAATTGTAACAATGAAAAAATATGCACAAAAACTGCACAAATTATGAACACGTGCTAATTTTTGTTTTTTCTCAGGAAACCTGGTGAGGAGAATTTGTTATTGAACACGTGCTCATCAAGTTCACCTGGACGTCTCGTTTTGGAGTATTTTGGAACGAGAAAAGCCATGGTTTTGCAAACCATTGAGTGAGCAGGTAGATCTACTTTGAGTTCGAAATATTGAATTAACATTTGTCCGTGGGTTTTATGTCCCAGAAAAGGATGGTTGAATTTCATCCCTTTAAATGCAGCTTGAAGAACTCATGTCCTAGTTTGATCTCAAACAGTGCAGGAGCTGTGATCTCCTTCCAGCTAGCTGGATTTCTGTGGCTTGGTATGCATTTTTACATGCGAATTTACACCATATGCTTATATTTTGATTAGAATGTTCAAGACCTTGCGTTATCTTCTCTTTTGATAAACAAATCTGGTGCAGGTATCCAATTTATAGAATACCTGTTGGCCTGATGCTAGGGGATCTGGATGCATCCTTTTTGACCTTTCATTCCATTGCAATGCAAGCTGTGAATTCTAGCAAGGACTGTAGCATTGTTGATTCATCTTCGAAGATTTCCTTGCCAGTCTTTGACCTTGCTTCATTCAAGTTAAGAGATTCAGTTTTGAGTCCTCGTGAACCACATGAATGCGAGCAAGAAGGTTTTGCTTTGGCAAGCTGTTGAATCTGTTGGAAATGGGTCAAGTTTGACCAATAATCAGGGTGGGACCCGGTATCCATTTTGTGTGGGTCAATGGGCAAACTCATTCTATTCCGCGCGTAGATATTCGTGATA